TGTGCGTAAACACGCTGATGTGCTAACAAAGGCCGTTGCCTCCTATATTTAGAAATACTAAATGACCGACATTATATTTTAAAAACGCTGAAGAAAATCAATACGTTAAAACCTTACGAAAACAAGGTCCTCAGTAAATTATCTACACTCAATAAAGTTTAAATATATCTCTCCGACTAACACTTTGAAAATCGAAAAAATAAAAAGTATTATCTACACTTTCGTGACATTGTTATTAACACGTGTAAGCTAGAATAAAACTCTAATCTTGTGAACATAAGTCTTATAAGTAGAGGTTTCCCAATCAAAATATGTACGAAGTCCTCGTCTCCTACCCTAGATATACAATCAGCCAATCTTAACATTCAAAGATTTCAATGTCCTCGTAGTACGACGCGACATTCAAAAATCATGACGCACCTAATTACGTAATGTCTGAAAACTGATATCTTAATTCGTTCTTCTTAAGTCAAAATATTTCCCTGTGCCAATTCTTTACTGTCAAAGATTTTTAACTTATTTTCATCCCTCAAAGTGAGAAAACACATTTCACTCATACAAAAATATCAAAATTACTGATCTGTATATTCAAATTGGTACTTGTGGGTTATCGGGACACATCGCTTTAAAAATAGGTTAGGTTATGTTAGGTTAGGTTAGTATAGGTTAGGTTAGTTTAGGTTAGGTTAATGTGTGTAAATAAATGACATATACTTGAAAGTTACTATATTTTATTTCAATAAATGACAAATAACCTAACCTAACATAACCTAACCTAACCAAACCTAACCTAAGCTACCCTAGCCTAAATTAACCTAACCTATTTTTAAAGTGATGTGTCCCGATAACCCACAAGTACCTTCAAATTTTATGTGAAGTAGAAAGTAGATAGGATAAAACCAGATTCTGAACTGCCTAAAATACGTGGGCCATACGTCGATAAAAATGGCAGTGGAAGCGGCAGGTGCTCTGCGGGGGCCTCGTGGCTTATGGAAGTGGTACAGAAACGAATAAGTGGGAGAGCCGCCTTCATCATCTCTCCTGACTCATTTTAAAATCATAAGAATACCCATTGCCTGTCACACCTCTTTAACGCTTGTAGTAGATTTTCTTTCTGTTCCACTGAATAAGACAGAGATTTAATGTCTTAAAAAATTTTCCATTTGCACGAATATCTTATACGAGTCAGTCAGAATGCACGAACAAAACAAAATCCCTTTTGCATTCTGCAAGAATTGTGCGATATGAGGGCCCCGGTGTCAAAACGTAACTTGTTCAAAAGTGTCGGCCAAATCCTGATGCAAGATCATGAAAATTCTGGCAATTTTATATATACATCATACTTCATTTTCCACGCGCAATCACAAGTCACATAACACAACATTCTCAGTAAGCTATTCCATTTGTTTTAGCATTTCTTAAGTAATCTGCATAAGCTGGTCTTCTGGGCTATGACACAATGTGGACTTGCAACATTTCAAAGGAACATACTATCTCCATCTGCAGGGTTTCACCACTCCACACAGCATTAAAACCCAGAAAACAAACATCAAAAATCCTTAACACTATGAAGACAAAAAATCTTAACCAATCCGATTATTCAATTTCACAAAAAGTATGCTATTCAGTTGTGTACACAATCTTTCTTAGCGCTACTTCACAAAGCTGTCACCATGGGCAGCACACTACCTCAAGGATGACGTGTTCAGTGGCACTAAACAAAATTATATTTGTCACGTATTACATACAATAAAAACTGGAACACCTTTCTGTAAAGTCCCTGCGTACGCTTCCTCATAATAACAGATGCTATGACGTGCCATAAGATACTTAATTGTATTCTAAAGTACCAATATATGTAAATGACTGAAAAACACAACATTTGTCATATTTAAAAGAACATCAAGATTATGTAATTTTTAACTCTAAGAAGCCTTCCAGAAAGTATGGGTCCACAAGATTATAAAAATTAGAAAAACTAACCACTCAAAATTTAAGTTAATTTCCACCATTCTCCATTTTTAAGTGTAATATTACTTAATGTTTATAAAATGTTAAGTTTAAGTTTTAAAACCTTGCATACCATGTAGTGTATTTGAATATAAATCATGCATTAATTGTCCTAAGTGTAAACAGTTTTGTTTGTATGCATGATTTATGTTTAAGTTAATTGCATCTTCAAGGACAAAACAAATGTCCAGATTAATGTCATTGCTGTTGAAATGAGCATCTATCAGCTTAATAGGCTTCACACATAATTAATTTCCCAGCTACACAATTTCAAAAAGCATAATTTCTCTCTTACCTGAAATGATTCCATCCATCTGCTGTAATGCTGCTTCCAGCATCTTGCTTGCTTCTGAGTGTGGACTTCCCAGCCCTACTTCTGTACGATCTTCAAAATGTTGTTCAGCTTTACCCATACCGAACTTTATTTTTCCTCCTCTGAACCCAATTTAACCTGCATAAGAAAATAACTTCATTTACTACTATACCACTATTCTGTGTTACAATGAAACTTTAAATATTTCAAATTAAAAATGATAACAAATACAAAATTTGAAAGGATGTGGAAGGAAGAAGTCATGACCTAATATAAGATACTATCCGAGAATTGACCTGGAAAGGCTGAGGAATAAGACAAAAATCTCAGTCAAGATCGCCAGTCTCCAGGCGAGTATTTAAACCCAAGCCCTTTCAAATATGAATCAAAAGTGCTAACCACTCAGTTGTAATGTTCTCATTCAATTAGAAATACAAAATTACTGGCATCATGTATCTTAATAGTTCAGGAAATGAAAAAATCTTCATAACATTCTCAAAGAATCAGGTTTATTGACTAAAAAGATATAAAAATATGGCTGTGTAAATCAGACATGAACTTCAGGCTCAAGTACTAGTTCTGCAGATTACAGGTAATACAATAAAATAGAATGAAATCTGTTTACATTCCAAAGAAACTTCATAGTGCAAGCCAAGGATGTGCAACATGTCACAATATGAATACCAACAATTCGTACAAATAAAATACTTAGCTGTTACAGGCAACAACGAATTTTATTACAGTATTTGATAATTTTAAATTGAAGTAAACTAATATAACATAAAATGTATGGCCCCCAAAAGCAGCAATCTTTTGCATCTACACCCTTTAACCTGGCACCAGGGAAAAAATAAAACCTAATCACAGGTCCAAAGGAAGTGTGAAGTGCATAAATGTCGATACAATCCCATAATCTTTCTCTTTTAAATTTAACCAATCTGTGTATATTTACTAACAAAATAGTTCAATTATCATGATACTGTAAATATGGGAAACGTTGGTTGGTGTAACTTTCTGATACCAGAATACGGGCATAACCTAACAATATTTCCTTTCTCAGTTCAATGACTATGACAAGCCCAGTACAGAACGTAAAGAAGGCTGCGCTGCACTGCACTATTTGGATAATAAAATAAACACGTACTTACTGAATGGAAAACAAAATTAAATTTGCTACTCAGGAAAAACAAACTAAAGAAATTATGAAGAATATGACAAAAATATTAAGGAAAGACTACGAAAACTAACTGAACTTAACAACTCAAACAATTTTAAATCGAGAACTGTACAAGGCTATCGAGTGGAATATATCGAAATTATATATCGATGAAAACATTGAATGTGCATCTAATATCAGTGCGCTGATTTTAAAAGATTTTCACTGCAATGCAGCTTCTTTTTTCTCCAATTATTCTTTCCATTACAAACTAAAGAAGAAAGCAATTTTGCCTCCATGTGCTCTGCAGTAACTTTCCCCTTGACGTGGTTTTCACCAACCTCAGTGACCTGAGCATGGTACAGACTGATTTACACATAGCCATTGACATTACATTGCCCCTTTAAGATGTTTGCAAACCCTTGATTTTTCCTGCAGAAATTTTGTTCTAGCAATTTTCTGTGGTTCCATACGAAAATCCAAATTCCCCTTTGGTTTTATACTACTTGAAAACAAGGAAAAAATACTTTTATCAGTGAAACTAATTTTATGTAATAAAATGTGGTTTTATTGAAAGCTTGTGAAAGTCACTATCTAGCATGACAGACTCAAATCAATACATGGAAAGCTCACATTAAAACCTAAGCATTTCCGGAAATGTGTATGCATTTATTGG